CAGAGAACATGGGTGTTAAAGCACAAGCCATTCGGTTAAACATGGAAAGAATTCAAGTCAGCAATCTGAACTGAAGAAGTGTTATATTTGACATCATTAACATGGAAACAAAATTATTTCCACTAGCTTTTAATTTCTAAGACAATGGTTGAAACAATATGGCATATGTACACAATCAATACAAAAACACAAATATAGCTTATGTGTGAATGATGAACTCTGTCCTAGTGACGGGCGCACAAACCTGTACTGTGGACAGGATGGCGTTCTCAAACTCTCTGTACGCCTCCCACACCATCTGTCCCTTGGTCATGTGAAGCCCCACTGCTGTCACCGCCCTCTCAAAGATGGATCTCACCCTGTCGATTCCGCCTGGTGAGCCCATACCGCCGATCGAGTACTGTGCGTACTCAAGCCAGATATCGGGGCCTGTGTGTGTAAAGTTAAATGTTAGGATCGTGTAATTACTAATCATCAGGCCGGAAGGTGGTGGCGATGGTGTTGCGCACTCACAGATATAGTCTTTAACAGCTCTCTCAAACAGCTCATATACTTTCTCTCGGTTTGGCTCCTCCTCAGTCAGACGGATTTCATCCTTGAGCCAATCCAGCCAGATCTCTGGGGGATTAAAAAAAACAAGGTTTCAGTTGTAAATAATGCAGAGCCGCTTATTCCTCCAACCCCAGAAGCATGTTAGCCGTGCACCGACCTTCAGTGAGAGGGAAAAGCTCACTCATCTTCTGCCTCGCCTTTCGCAGGCGGAAAAGTTCCCCCTCTTGCTTTAGCAGCTTGATAAGATCCACATGGCAGTTGTAGTCAAAAGCGTTGATGGACAGCTGAGGAGTTACACAAAGATGAAGAAGAAATGAGATACGTGACAATGCACTTCAGGGGTTTTGTAGGCACAAAATCATAATCGGTTGGCATGTAAAATCTACTTTAAGCTGTTCTTGCATTCACAAGAGGTCGCCACAGCAGGTAGCTCCGCATATTTGATTTGGCCGAATTTTTACCCTTCATGACGCAACCTCTCCCAGGATCGCACCAGGGATCTTTTGATTCTTAGGTGAACACATAAAACAGCTACAATTGGTTTGCATGTAGGAAAAGTGTGTTACCTTATTTAATATCTCTCTATGAATGTAAAGATATTTTTATGATGCTTTTTGGCAGGCCAAGATCTCTTTGGTGAAAATACAAATCTGTTATATGCAAGAAATCCCTGCACCCTGCACACAGTGTATCCTAAATAATCCATGCTTTCTTTTATGCGTTTACTAATTTATTTATTTTAATTTATTACCACCACAAAAGAAAATAAAGTTCACTTATAATTCATCTAATGAACTATGAGAGTTCTCTTTAAAGAGTAATAGCATTGTTTTTGTTGTTCTTTATCATTAACAGCTGCAAGACTACAAACTAAAAAACTAAACCCAATCCTTCATGAGAGCAAATGTTTATATTTTGTTGAATTGTTGGTTGAAAATTCAGGTAGTTTCGTGGGTTGTAGTTTGATCTGTTAGACTTTTGGGCTACAGCAGTGAGACTGAATATTTAAAACATATCTCTGTATATAGCACACTACAGTCAGCAGTACCACACACTGATGCTCGCAGAGGGACTCGTGTACAGTCATGCAGCTGGATCTATATTTGAGTGTATTTGTAGGTTGCAGGAGAGCTACACCTACCACACAGTCAACTCAGCGCAACACCAGCGACGCTGCAGAAGCACTCTCCGTACTTAAGACTACAGCAGAGTCAATGTTATGTGAAGGGGTCACTGATCACGTGACGCCCATTAAAGTTAGCACAGCGTGTACTGTTTTTGTTTGTACTGTACTTTCTTTCTAACCCACACTAAACGCTGGGATCCCGCCGTAGACTGAGACTGCAACAAAAAAGGCGCGTGTGAATACGAGGCACGCGAACTATTAGCCTCGCACATTAGCAAGGCAGCTAATCACGACAGCTATATAAATGACGTGGTTGTATATTTAGATGTTTTGGTTAACGAGAGCTACCAACGCCACGTATATTTTCTGCCTTTACTCTACCATGTCATGACGGAGGAGTTCACAGCTTTAATGCTGCCAACCCGATTGTGGCTGGCCGTGTTTACCACCCATTCATTCTCATTAGCCCCTCGGCTAACGCTGGCTAATTACCTGCTCCTCAAGTCGCTGGATCTCGGCTTCATTTTCTTTCTCGTCCTCCGACGAATCGTCCTCCTCGTCTTCGTCTGAATTTTCCACTCCCATGCCTTCCTCCTCTTCTTCGTCCGATTCCATCTCCCTCTCCTCCATCCCTGCATCTTCCTCCTCCATATCTTGCAACTGCGTTTGCTCTGCGTTGCTTGACGCTGCCATGTTGGAAAGCCTATCTGCCTGGTAACAGCCTGCTAGCAGCCAGCGGGACGACGAGAGGCGGAGCCCGTCAACACGGGTCACCGTCTAACCCCGCCCGTGGCCGCTAGTGGGCGCTCTCTGATTGTGTAAAACCTTCTTCTCTCATTTGTTTGTCAACACAAGCCGTTCGTGCTTCCTCGTGTTCACTCGTTGATTTCCGTTCGCAGTTGGTGCTGGAAACATGGCGAACGTCTCCCTACGAAGCTCCTCGTCCTTGTTGCTGTTTTTCAGCAGGAGGATTTTCAAACCGGAGCTGCGCGCTGTCTGCTTGTACCACAAAAAGGTAAACGAGTGAAAATGCGTCACCTTACTTAGAGTTAGCTGACATTTTTTGTTGTTGTCACTGGTAACACTGCCCTGTCTGTCAGCTGCCCCACCAACAGATCAGAGATATATATATATTTTCTGATAAGTGTGACCTCTCCCTAAGGTTGTGGACCACTATGAAAACCCGAGAAACGTGGGCTCCCTGGACAAAAACTCCAAAAATGTGGGGACTGGATTGGTGGGTGCACCGGCATGCGGCGATGTTATGAAACTTCAGGTAAGCTGGAAGCCAGCAGCAGAAACCAATGTATTGTAATGTCTTTGAAATTCCGATGTTTGACTCTGTGCTGTTTGCAGATCCAAGTGGATGAAAATGGAAAGATCGTCGATGCAAAGTTCAAAACATTTGGCTGCGGATCGGCCATTGCTTCCAGTTCTCTAGCAACAGAGTGGGTGAAGGGGAAGTCGGTATGTTAAATTACCAAAGTACAGGCAACCAACAAATGGACCCTAAAAGTGCTGTTTTCTCCGCTTTATTGTAAAGGATCTCATGAATCTGCTTTTACCCTGCAGGTTGACGATGCTCTGAAGATCAAGAACACAGACATTGCCAAAGAACTCTGCCTTCCTCCAGTCAAGCTTCACTGCTCAAGTAAGTTCACAGTCGTTATTAACACCTCTTAAGACATGGGTGTCAGAATATATATCATATATCAAATATAAAGTCTGGGGGGCAGAATCGACCCAGCAAAAACTTCAGTCCGGCCCACTGGAAGACTTTGGAAAATGTGAATTGTATTTTCATTTCAAGTTTTGTAGCTTTTCCTAATAGAAGGATCTCCACTGTGGCCATTCATACTAAACCAAAGTATTTTAGGTCAGTTAATAAAAAAAGACAGTAATTTCTTACCATTTAAGCATAAAGGGTCATGCTGACCATGCACACCATTTTCCCCCCGAAACAAATTCTTTCTCTTGCTCTGTTTGAAAGCACATACATTTATGCTTTCAGATCAGGTGTTTCCTGTGCAATAAATATATAACATAACAGTGTGGGCTCGCTCTGGGTACTCTGGTTTCCTTCCACAGTCCAAACACACGTTACAGTTGTGGTCAGATGTTTACATTCACTCATCATTGGCATGAATCTCATGGTAATTTGGGTCTTTTAATGGTTTCTTTGAACTGTTGTATTTCCGGGGTGGAATGATTGTACAGGATACATCTTTAATGGCTTGATGAGTTCATAGCAGGCTTGAGCCTCAGCAGTTCCTGAGTTGTTTCTGAACATCTAAACCAATTCCCTCTCATCTAACGGTGACAGTTTGGGTCTTCTTCCAGACTTTGACAAAAACACAGTTACCAGACCCCGTGTGTATACTTTTAACCCTGTGTGAGAATCAGAGAAAGTCCATAATAAATTCAGAAGAACAGTTCAAAGAAATCATTAAAACTCCCCTAATACTATGTCAGTCCTCCCCACGATAAGTGTAAACTTCTGACCACATCTATAGGTTAACTGATGATGGTGTGAATAGCTCTGTTTCTATGTCTTAGCCATGCAACAGATTGGCGAGCTCTTCATGGTGTAACCCGTCTCTATGGAAGAATGAATGACTGTATTAATCACACCTACATAATGATGATATGAAATCAAATCACCCAGTTATCATGAACTGAATGCTTTTTGTTTTCCAAATTATGCTCATAGTGGCTCTAAAATCTGCTTTTTTTGTCAGTGCTTGCAGAAGATGCCATAAAAGCAGCACTGTCAGACTACCGGCTAAAGCAACAGGACAAGGAGGAACATGTTAAAGCCAGCAATTAATGTTTTTATTCACTGACTATAATAATAGATGTATCCTATTGTTAGATATCGTGCCTCTCCTAGTGCCAGAGCAGTGCAGACGGGTCGCTGTAATCACATCGCATCAGATCTTGCATCCATTGGGGAATTCTCCACAGGTGTGGGTCCCATATTGTTCAAGTGTTAATAGCGTTTATGGATTCTTTGCTTTTATCACACAATCAGAATTGTTTAATTAACAATGGGTTCATGGTGAAGCTTAACACTTTAATACACAGAGCATTAAAGACATCTTTAATGAAGCAGGGATGTGGGTTTGTAGTTTTATTTTTTTGGCTTTGAGGCTCTTTCTGGCTCACTTGTGAGACAATGTAGGTCCCAGATGAAAGACTTGGTATGAGAATGTCAACAGTTAAAGTTTACATACAAAAAAAAGTTCAGAAAATTTGTATGAGGTGCTTTGCTTACTGTGAATAAACAGATTAAAAGACTTCAGTGTCTGTGTGTGTGTAAATGTCATCCTGCTGATCCTGAATCAGCAGGAGCCACCCTCTGCTGACGCACAAGCACCTTTTTCAGCACGAGCAGCACTGCCAGCATTACGAGAGCCACTAACACACACAGCACAACGAGCAGAGAGACTATCGCTGCAGAGGCCTGCTGAGTGAACAGCTGTGGGACGAGAGTGGGCACGAGTGCATCTCTATGTGTGGAAAGCAAGAACTGTGTCCCCTCAGCAAGGGTTACGTTACTCTGAGGGTATCGAGCTGTAATGTTGTCTCTGCACCTCTGTTCCTCCTCAGGGAGAGAAGTAGTAGTCTTTAAATGGAAGGGGCTGACTGACTGACTGTTATTTAGGGATAAACACTCCTCATAGGTAAGAGTCTCTAAAGAGTAGTGCAAGACACGCGTCTTGGAAGAGTCTTGATTACTGTTTAGAGCTTCAGAAAGCAGTCCATTAGTGGTTAGTTTTGATATTTTCTCTGCTGGCTGCGCTGTTAGCATCCTCGCCTGTGCAGAGCTGAGGTCACGTTCGTGTGTCCTGTCATTTGGCTTCAGGACACGAGGACAGATGGCCACGACAGAGAGATTCAGAAGCAGACGGTGGGCGAGATGATCAGGCTCTGTGCACACAATGTCTGTGGCCATCTTAAGCCTACCGCTCAGCAGCCAGCGGTACAGATACAGAATGTCACACTCGCACACCCACAGGTTGTTGGTGAGGTCCACAGATCTGAGACGTGGCAGGCTGTCAAAGGCGCTCTCTGGGACTGACCGCAGGCAGTTGCTGTTGATCTTCAGGACCTGCAGGTTGACCAGGGCAGACAGTGAGGGCAGGTCCAAGGCAGAGATGCAGTTTTCTGAAAGATCTAAGTGGGTCAGTGATGGTGGAAGACTCATGGGGAGACTGGTAAGCCTGTTCCCCTTCAGCGTCAGGACCTGCAGCTTATGGAGACCCTGAAGTGCCCCGGGCTGGATGGCACGAATACGGTTGTCCTCTAAGTCCAGGTGAGTGAGGTTTCCCAGCTGCCTCAGGACACCTGAGGTGATGTAAGTAATGCGGTTTTCTTGCAGCTGCAGGGACTCCAGGCTGGGAGGCAGGCCACGAGGGAAGCGGGCTAGCAGATTGTGACTGAGTCTGAGCTCCTGGAGGCCAGAGAAGGGCCAGAGCTGGTGGTCCACATTACAGAGCTGGTTTCTGGCCACAGATAGAGCCGAGGTACTGAGAGGAACCGAGCGAGGGAGTGACCTCAGGCCTAGTGACTCACACAGAACCAGAAATCCTGGGCAGCAGCACCCAGTAGGACAGGGAGACACTGCAAGGCAGGCTAGAGGACAGATGCAGAGAGCCAGCAGGACACCACATCTGCACCAAAGCATGACTCACTGCAAGAATAATGCAGGAAAGACGAGAAGTTAGATGAATTTAGAGGATATGGTTCTTCTAAAAGTTCTATAAAGGAAGGGGTATAATGTTATAATATGGCTTAATTAACGGTTAATAAGCAGCTGAAAGATCCCTGGTTTGATCCAGGAAGGACAGACAAATTCCACTGGGGCCGCATCAGGAAGTGCATCTGACATAGAAACTCTGCCAAAACAAACACGTGGAGCCACCTGCTGTGGTAATCCCGTGTGGATAAGGAAACAGCCAAAAGCAGCTTTATTAAAGGTTAATGAACCATTTATTAATACCAGTACTCCACCAGCACACTCTGGTACATATAATGACCTTATGGAAAAGAGCTGCAGAGTGTAAAACCCATTCATGGAATTGCCAAAACTATTTATAAAGCCACTTCTTACGTCTTAAAACCCCATGATAAGGTGTGACTTGTTATAAAGTGATGCCAAAGAGTGAAAGCTGCCTCACTTACCATTCTTCTTTCTGTGTATTATCTGCTCCTCCAAAGAGACAGGCAGGGGTGCTTTCCCATGCTCCCTACGTGATCGACTGTCCCTCTAAAGATAACCGACGTTACTGATAATTCCAGGCAGATGCTCATCAAAGTTTAATGACAGCCTTAAGGAGCTCTATTACCTGTTCTTGATCATCTTCTCCATCCGAACTGACCAAGAAGTCCTTTTGTTTGTCAGCTGTTTTATGATGAACAAGCTGAAAATACAAAAGACATTCAGAAAAAAAGAATGGTATGAAAAAAAGGATGTCCTAAATATTCTCCTGTCGGAGCCCAGCTAAGGTGGAGGTTATTAGTGACTTTAGTGAAGATGTGCTACAAGGTTTGCATCTTTCTGGAAGGAAGAGTGAAAGTAAGGGGCTAGCATTTTCTCGAATTATTTAGCACCTCATTGATAAAAGAGCAGGGAATCTGAGCCCGGTGTAAGGCTCTGTCTGGGCTCACGTTTCAGCCACCACATGGTTACACTTGCTTTTCAGCTGGTGCGCTATCATGTCCTGTTTGATCTTTGGCAGTTTGACCTACTTAAGACCTGAAAGGAGTTTTATGTTTGAGGATTAAAAAAACATTCTTATGAATTTTCTACATTTTTTTTAAACAGATTTCAGATGGCATCATGATTTATCCATGTCACACTGGAAATAAGATATATTAAAATACACAACTGAAAGAGTTGCACTGTTCATACAGCATCAATATTTCATTACTTGCTCAAAATATGGAACAAAAGGGATTCGACTTTTTATCATAATTCTAATGGGAACAAATCAGGGTCCCCAGGATTTGTATAAACAATACATGAGCTCCTGTTTTGTGCCAAAGGGTCCGTATGTATCTGGATTACTGCTATTGAAATATTAAACAATTCTGTACAGTTGCCAGCAAAGGACAAAGGGGGCTCTCGTCATCTCCAGGCTCGAGTACCTTCTTCTGCAGTCCTGCGAGGTGATGGTGCCAGCGGCTTCATCCCGGCCAATCAGAAAGCTCTGGCAGTGTTTTTTTTTTTCTTTTGCAGATCAGGGGTTTGAACTGTTAAAAGAGAAGACAGCCTATATCATCACAGAGCAGATATCACAGATCTGGCATTTCGGTAATTACCTTAAAATAGTTACCAGTGATTTCTGTGTGGACGCAGGTCAAAATTACAGATTCCCAAGTGGAACATAATGTGCACGTTGAGATTGTCCTCTTGTTTTTCCGAGACCTTCCTCGCCTTTTCTAATTGTAGGTTTCCACAGGGTTGTATCTGTGCTTCATTTGGCGTAGCTTCAGCCATGTACGCTGCTACATTTACGGCACTCAGAGACATCTTTTTTGATAGCTTTATTAAATATAAGCAAAACAAAACGGTCTTTTTGTAAACAATTCAAGTGTCAAAAAAGAAAGCAACTGTGGCTGAGGTTAGGCAGAAAACAGTATGTCAGCATGACAAAAGCATCGGCACATAATTCAGGCTTAGATTAGATGCTCAAGGTCATTAACTTAACAACAGGACAGAGTAATTTAATCAAAGAAAATCAGATAAGAGAGACAAATATGCATCTGTCAAGCCTATACACGTAAGCTAAACATGCCAACTGTCTGTCCTTCTACTCACATTTCAAACGTTTACACTTAAAATAAAAAAAGCATAATTTATCGTATACATAAATGCACTAACTATTTAAAAGGAAAACTTAAACATTTGTTTTCTACTGCCTACTTTTTTATACATTTGCCCATTGAGAGCAGGTCAAAGGTATTAGCCGAATAAATATGTACAGTCATCGTACAAAGAAAGTGCACCCTCTTTCAGTTCAAGACAGTTCAGAACAGCATCCTGTGACATATTACGACATGTCATTGATTTAACAAAGACTAAGCTGAAACGCAGAAGCAGTGTGTGGAAACTAAGTCCACCCTTCCATTATGAAGTAAGGGGGTAACTAACAGCCAGGTACTGCTGACCAAATGCATTTGATTAACTAATCATTTGATTAACTAATCATTGATTAACTAATCATTTGATTAACTAATCATTTGATTAACTAATCATTGATTAACTAATCATTTGATTAACTAATCATTGATTAACTAATCATTGGCAGGTGTGAGCACCTTTATAAAATCAGAGGTTTGTAGGTCTGTGGTATTCAGGTGTGTTGACACAATGCTGAGGATGAAAGACATCAGCAACAGTCATCAGTGTGGGAAAGGTCATAAGGTCATTTCCAAACAAACTGAACTCCATCACTCTACAGTGAGAAATATAATTCACAAGTGGAAAATGTCCCAGCAAATTCACCACAAGGTCCACGCCCCTAAGATCTACAGCTCAGACTGTGCAGGCCTCAGTTAGCATGTTAAATGTTAAAGTTCATGACAAAACAATTATCAAAGAAAAGACTTAACAAATGTGGCTTATTTGGAAGGGTTGCCAGTAGAGATGCTTAGGTTACATCTGATTAAACCACAAGACCAAAGCAGACATGTGTGGTCACTGTGCACGGCGCCATGTTTAGGGAAAACTGAACACAGCATATCAGCACAAACACTTCATAACAGCTGTCAAGCACGTTGGTTGCAGCCACTGTGTCCACCATGAACTCCTCTGCATACCAAAGTATTGTTGAGTCTAATGTGAGACCATCTGTCTGACAGCTTACGTTTGGCCTAAATTTGGTTATACATCAGGACAATGATCCCAAACACAACATCGAATCTACAACAGAATGATTGTTGCAATGGTTCAGCCAAATTTCAGATCTCAGCTCGATTGTAATGCTGCAGGCCAAATACCCGCAAACCTCAATGAACTGAACCACTGCAGCAAAGAAGAATGGACCAAACTTCCTCCACAACGACACGTGAGACTCGTAAAGTCATTCAGAAAACAATGACTTCAGATTATCGCAGCTAAAGGAGCGCACTTAATGTTTCACACTCTGCTTCTGCATTTTGGTCTGCAGTTTTTCAATTTAAGACCTGATCATTCTTTAATATGTCCTGATATGTGAAACCTTAGAACTGAAATACACTGTGATCTCTTTTTACCATGACATGCAGTACACATAGTAGATTTGTGGTAGTTTATACAGCCTTTGTTCAGATACCTAAAAATAACACAGTTAAAAGGTTTTTAAAATAAAATATGATATCATGTGAAACTTAACAACCCGATGCAAACAAAATGAAGTAAATATAACTGTAAATATAAAGAGAAAGTTTTGCTACTTATCACGTCAAGTTTACTGACATTTCACTTTGACTTATTTACAGCACCGAACGTGTTGCTCTAAATGACGGATCCAGATGTTTTCACTCCAGCAGGACATAATGAGGAGATTCCTTTGGACAGGTATGTGGAATAATACTTTATTTTAGTTCCCTTTGAAAGTGTTATTCACAGGAAAATAATACTTATTATATAAAGTTTTACTGCCTCAGTAGCACAGTGGTGTTATGTTTTTTTCAGTAATTACAGGAAAAAGAAAAATCCTGTGCTTGCCATGCCAAGTTAAAGTTGTTTTCGGCACATGAAGACAAAGTGGCCGTTAAAAGGGTCTCGGTATGCTGCTATCTTTCCTCGTGCCTGCTTATCAATCAAACAATTTGAGCTGTACCATTTGTAATCTTTTCAGTAACCAGTGATTTGGGTAATAATCCTCTTCACTGTATATTTAAATCTAGATCTTAGACTTTAATGATGGGTAATTTTTCTTCATGAGGCATGACTTCACTTAAATATAGACCTATTTCCCTCTGTAAGGCTATTCTAATGAAAACACATTTTGAGGACCCATTTTGCCTTTGCCCGTTTCTGATCTTGTTTAAAAAGCGAGAAAAAGGCCACCACTGTGACCTAGTGGTGGCCTTTTTTCAGATGGCAGGTGCAGACTGGCTGACTGGAGCTAGAGCTGGAGCTGGTGCTGGGACTGGAGCTCTGCTGAACCTCCTCCCTGTGCTTCACCTTCTCTTTGTGTTTTGGTTCCTCTCTCCGCTTTTCCACTGCCTCTGTATCTCTGACCTTTCTGACCTCCTGTCGAGGTGATGACCGGACGTCTCTCCCTCTCTCTCCCACCAGCGCCTTGGAGGGCATCCGCAGGTTCTTCGGGGAGGACATGCTCTGAGTCTGGACCCTCTTGACGTGATCGACGGCGTACGGTTTCTCCTGCAGGTCACTTGAATCCTTGCGTCCTCCGGCTTTATCGGCCGTATACTTCCTGGGTGGATGAGGTAGGGGCTTATATGCCTCCAGCTTGCGCTTGTGACTCATTGCAGAGGCACAGCAGATGATGAAGACCATGACGATGAGAAGAGAGGTCACCACGATGATGATGAGCATGTTCTCCTGCAGGAAGTCCACTACTCGGGTCAGGACGTAGTCCTTCAGACGGATCATGGTGGTGGTTATGGTGTTGGTGAGAGTGGGACTCCCGGTAGCGGCGGTAACGTGAACAGGCGCGCGGGTGGAGAAAGACACCGGGAAAAGGAGCTCCAGCTCGGCTTCATCTCCGCTGCCGTCCATGGATATGTTGTAGAACAGAGGTGTGGCGTGACACACAGAGCAGCACAGCGAGAGCAGGGTCACACAGGAGACCTGAAACACCAAGTGAGACTTCATCTTCTCTTTGAGTCCTGCAGAAACAACAAGAGGATGCTTTTAATTTCAGGCAGCACATAGACTCGAAGTCACTGAAAGAATAACGTTGATTGTTAGGTGAAAAGATTTGGGACTGCCTTTCTCAACTTTAATATCTGATCAGAAGGCATGTGGTCCTGTCTTGGGTAAGATTTATGACGTGCACGTTTCTGCTTGTACTGTCTCTGTTGGCAAGTGTTGTGCACACGTGTAGTGCTCTGTTGGCTATTTTATTTTTAAAGCTTCATTCTGATGGATGACAATGTGCCCAACAGCTCCTCTAAAACAGCTCTAAATCTTGTTGGTTTCATCCTCACACATTAGGAAGACATAAAATGTAATAGCTTTAGTTTTAATGTGGTCTGACTGTTTCCCTTAAGACCAGCAGCCTGTTGCAGTGACTCCTGGTTTTCAGGTGCTGGTAGGACAAAAGCCTCACTGACTGTTGCTACTCTTTATCTTAAGCTCCTCACTCACCCTAAATATTTACCGTATCACATCTCAAGTGTGACAGGCATCCATCTTGACCCGGGTTTTTCATTTGCTGCCTCTCTCTCTCTCCTGCACCAGATCTATTTTAGCAGACTGCAGAGTAGCCATTACTTACTCGGGGTGGAGACAGTGAGTTTGGAGCTGGAGGCCTTATAATTTGTAAAGCAGAGGGAGGCCACCCATCCACCACACCAAAGCCAGGAGGAAACTGTATTCTAAAGCGAGCACAGAGGCGTGGGAGACCTGCGGCTCTCGCCTCTATATTTACGCTGGGCAGCAGCTGCTGTTCACCAGCCCACAGCAGCACAGTCTCACTGAGGATATTTCTGCTTCCAGGAAAAGCTGCATTTACACCATGACTGAGTGAAACCTCCTAGCTTGCTCAGTGTTACATTTCTCCATCCTTTTCTTTTTGGCTTCCTCTCACTGAGAAGATTTAACCAGTGAGTCTGTTAGCTCTGCAAACCTGTTTAACTCTTTAACCCAGTCTGTAATTACACAGTGCTAAGCTGTAAAGACAAGCTCCCCTTCCCAGTGTGGTCAAACATACAGCATGTACTGTGCTGCACCAGATGGCGGGCTGGGTCTCCATCCTTGAATGTACAGCTCTAGGATGGCCCTGCCCCTTAAGTCCCCATAATTACAGCTAAAATTACATTTCCTGTATTTCACTAGAGGGTCGCCCTTACCTTCAGCTCAAAGCCTTCTAATTTGTGACACTTTAAAGCTTTTATAAACTTAATTACATGAAAAACTTTGAACGTGCAGAGCCATATTTTACACATATACCTATCTCACATTCAGCCTGATGACCCAGTGTGCAGCAACTTACTAAACAAATGTTAGACCATCTCAAATATTTCTTGACATACAATTGTGGCTACCTGGTACACGGTGCAGATTCAAGGTTAGACATTTAGATCTTTTTTTTAAGGAAGTATTCAGAAGAAAATAATCCATAAATAAGTCGTGCATTCAAAACTATAGAAGTATTTAAGAACTGTACCAACGATCCCTTTAACCTTTGCTGCAATATTACTACTATTACAGTTGCATGTTGAGTGGTTTTCCCTTGCAGTGAGTAAATTATAGCACAAGATTATCAGCATAGTTGAATCTGTAGTGATGCATCACATGATTTACAGTTGGATTATGGGAAAAGTTTGCAACATTTAAATCTCTGACATAAAATAGTTGAACCGAATGTACTTTTGCACAAACATTCAGACTTCATTTATTTCTTCATCACTATTTGCCACTCGTGAAACGAATGTATAAAAGTACAACCTATGAAAGGTCAAACATCCTGAAAACATTTGGCTTCTCTTTAACCTTGAACTTAATTTCACTACAAATGTAAAATGTATACTTACAGGATGTGCTAGCCTTGGCTTCTCTTCTGTGCAGCACGAAGCTGTGAGTAAGACTGCAGAAAGAGGGAGGAAAAGGGGGAGACAAGACAAGACGGACAGACGAGAAAGTAAGAGTGGAAGACCGTTTCCGAGGATTCGCCCTCCCTGCTGACTTGTGCCGACTTGTTGTTTTACTGAGCTCTTAAAAGTATCCTCACCTCAAACTCATGTCCAGCCCTCCATCTTCAGGTTCTCCTCCCTCTTTTTCTTTCTGAACTTTCTATCCTCCAACAGCCTAACTCTTGGTAAGTTCATGTAGCCGGCCATGTGGGACCAGATTTTTTTTATCATACATATGTTTTTTTGAGAAACATTTGATCTGAACATGGTGATACTTCACACTAACAGGACAAAAGATACACGGGATGCTCTACAAATAGAAACAGTCTTTATTTGCAATGAAAGGCTAATTTGCCACAGTATGTGCTCGTCCATTCACAGTCTGACTGACAGATACAACCTTAGCCTCAGTGTTTATCTTTAAAACAAATATGTTGCAGTTGGTGCATGTTAGTCCCAAGTTCTTCGGAAAAGGGTATTTCTATTCTTGGTGGGGCGAGTTCCACAACTTTTTTTTGGCCTGCACTGAATACTCTCTAATTACGTTCCTGCTGATTACAGCCTGTCTCTGCAGGGCATACAAGACCAGTACAGGGAGAAAGCACTCTTTTCATCCTGAAACACATGTACAGAGCAAATATATGAACTAAATGGACTTTTAGGAGCACTGGATAACTGTTTAACTTGCAGGGCATTTATTTAAGGGTGCTCGTGTTTCTCGTCTTGTTACACAGTACTGCGTAAAAGTGTCAATTATAGGTTTTTTTTCTTTCCAGGGAGCCAAACCTTTCTTATAGTGGTCTGAAAAAACACTTTCTGAAGGCCATTTTCTGGAAATCTTTCAGTTTTCTTTGGACATTGGCTGCTTTTTCATTCATTTTCAGTCCAGTTCTTGTACCCGTCCATTTTCACAGGAATGTTTTTCTTTTTTAAGCCACTTAACCCTGACCCATGAATCATCCATGCATTAAAAAAGGCACCAGTGTTGTGTCTGCACATAACAAACAAAGAACCAAGTTCTATATTTAGCCACTTTGGAATAAAGTAGGTGTTATAAGAGGCTGGTAGTAACTATTTGTTAAGTTGAATCTGTAGAAAATGGTAAAGATTAAAGTGTGACAGGCACAAACTAGCATGTTTGCACCAACAAGGTGATTCCCAAAGAACTGTTGGCCAAAACCTGCACACATCTATGCGATTAAGAAACAGAAGAAAAAAAAAAAATCTAGCAAAGACCTGACACAAGACGTGAGAGAAGATTTTTCCCTTCAGTTGGTCCATCTTAAGGATGGCTCATACCAAGTATTGAGTTTCAAGCTTGTTAGAACTGTATGAACTCAGAATTGACTTTTACTTTATTCAAATGATAAAAAAAATAAAAACAAAACAAAAAAAAACAAAAAAAAAACCCCACTGCAACTATTTTCCAAGCCACACAAAGAAATGAGAAATAACTCATGTTGACTCTGTGTGTGTGTCATACAGTAGTACCTAATAAAGTGTCCAGTGAGTGTCATATTGATCATTAATTGGTGTATTTGTTAATTAACAACTGAACAGTGAACTCATTTTAAAAATTCTTTATTAATTTTTCTTATAATCAATGGTTTGATATTTGAAGCAAGAATAATGAACAAAAATGCTGAGCAGACCTCCACACGAGGCTTTCATCCTGGTTCATTTTTCATCAGATTTTCTTTCTCGATAACCTCCGACGTAACGGAGGTTCTGCTTTTCTCATGATGGCAAGGTGCAAGGAACAAACAGGGGGAATGTTTAAAAATCCACCTCCCACACAAATACCCTCTTCAGCACATCCACAAAACAAAAGAAATGGGGAGGAAAAAAAATAGATATGGTCACGTTATTTACACAGTTCTCACTCATTTTCTAGACCTCAATTACAAACATACATCTATCTTTCAACACATTTTTTATTTTTCCACCTACAGTGTCCCTTTGGATCTCTATAAGCTACTACTCCTCAAAACTCCGCTCTTGTGCCAACAGTGCTAACCCAGAGAGTGGCAGTCTCATATAAAAGATATGGCAGTATGACCAGTGTCAGCCAAACATGCATCACACTCTACATTTCCTGTCACTAATATTCTCAGATTATTGACGACTCAGCTAACAGATTCCTGGTTTTACATCATTTTACATTTTAAGCTTGTACCCCAGAGGAAAGTGTCACAGCGTCAGGGGCACAATGTGTTTGACAAACCCTGACAAAGTAATGCTGCCTGGTGAACTTTATTATGGACTGGCAGGACTTCATGATGTCACACAGTACGTAAGAAACTGAGTCCTTTGAATTTTGTACTGAGTATAGCACCTCAAAGTGGGTTTAAACTCCAGGCACCTCGCCTCCATTTATTCCACAAAACTACTCACAGAACAGTCGACCTACAAGGAAACCAAAAATAATAAAACACTTCCAGGGTCACCTCTATGGCACTTTCAGGTCTTTACAGTGGTAACATTTATTAAAGGCAAACAACAGATTGAACCATTACCCGTCTCAGCTTCCCACAGGGAAACAATCTTTAAAAAAAAAAAACAAAAACAAAAAAAAACAACAACAACTCAGGTTGAAAAATATGATCCATTTTCAAATTTGACTGCACTAAATTGGAGCATCTGAGAAATAGCCAAGATGTGGAAGTGCTAAGAGGGATGTAGAAACAGCTGGAACAAGAAACGGGATTTAATTGAACATTGAAGCAATAACCCAACTACTTACTTCTTCTAAATTAAAAGGAAAACTCTGTAGTGGAAAGTCTACAGTGGCTGGTACCTAAAAGGCCAGAGACATGAGGACCCAGATTAGGCCTTTGAGGTCTAGCCAGCTTTAACATCACATGTTTAAAAGCAGTCAAGTAGCTGCGGGATTATTTGATGTCATTTTAGAAAACTTTCTTTTGTGCTTGTACAGAAAACGCAGACATCAGATGGCAAAGCAAACAAAAGAGCAGTGACAAAAAAAATGAGCCCACTGCACTTGACTACAGTGATGTGCTGAGCAAGCACATGGATAACCAAACAATCGGGTTGGAGTTTTTCCTCGCAGAAAGAATGAAAATGCAAAAGCTCGTCTTTCCATGAGCACCACATAAAGAATCCCAACAACTAAGCAGTGCAACCGAGTCACCGCAGTGAGTGTGTTTTTGCCCCCCCTCATACCAAGAACAGCCAATAGGAATTGTGGAATGTGTCACTTTCTTGAATAAGTGCAGAGTGCATGTTGGTAAAGCAAGGTAGAAAGGAATGCATGTTTACTTGGACTATTACGTCCACAGTCGGAATGATGGAAAAGCGACAGGAATGAAAGGAAACAGCAGAGGCGAAGTGTGGATTTCTGCAGCTTCAACAGAGACAGCAAGAATTAGTCACTTAAGGTTGTGTCTGAGTGTTTGGTGTCCGCTGTGGCAACCTGCAATGTATTTTCTTTTAACTACAAATTTAATCTGTCAGTCTCTCTTTCAGAACCATCCAATTAAATTATTTTAATTTCATAGTGCATCACTGATTTTGTTTCTGTACTTTAAAAAAATACTGCTAAGGAAGTGTAAACAAAAGTCCAGATTTGGCAATGTCTTAATTTTGGAGAAGGGCAAACACCAAACACTGAGGCCAACTTATAAAACATGATGCTATACAATGATAAATTGGGGGTGGGGGGCTGTTGACATGGTTTTCTTGATCATTATTCTAAAATGCAAAGAATTATGTAAGATCTTTTTATACAAGTAGACACAATTTAAAAAAAAAAAAAAAAGACTGCCACAGAATAAAAGGAAAAGTCCTTCGCCACCAAAAAGAAAGTATTTTCTACTAAATCTGCCACATGTTCTTCTTATTCCACCTGTTTTAAACTGAGGGTTGGGAGCTGGCTAAGAAAAAGTTCATCTGGAATGTTGCTAGGGATCTTTGCTAGGCAGACGAAACACTGTCATTGAGATAGGCAGTGAGTGTTCCCGCCCACCCCCACCCCCAGCCAGTGGAGCATCCTGAATTGTAGCGGGTTGGGCAAAAGCGTCCTTAAATGGCAAGTTTGGACATCTGCTCTTCAAGTTGGACGATTCGCTTTTCTTGACTGCTGATCATGTCCTTGAGGGACTTGATTTCTTTCAAGATCTCCTCCAGCTTGGCTTCAGATTTCTGTGAGAGATACGAGAAACAAAAGTGAGACTTAATGGGCTTTTAACCAGCTTTATGAAAATACAGCTACAGTCACTTTTAAAATGAGGTAAACCTAAGGTGGGTCCCTTAGTAGTACGCCTTGAAATCCGTGGGTCAAAGAAACTTCTAGGAATTTTAAGCTGGTTTTGCACACACTGAACTTAATGACTGCACCGATGAATAGGGCAGATCATAGAAAGATGGATTCACAAGGAGTGAGAGTCTAGTTAAATCCACTCCCTAACAGATTGTGGCAGGTTTAGTTTATTTAAATTCAACTTTTACCTTAAGATCAATCAATTAATTTACTTAAAGAGACAAGTTTCTTCATTATTAAAGTTTGATGAAGCCATTATTTACTGCTCAAGTTAAAATGTTCATCTTATTCTACACTGACCAAAATTGCTGGTTATTAATTTTCTTTTTTTTTGTTATAATCTAACAGCTTTAAGTCAAGTGTCCTTAAACCAAAGGCTTCATTTCCCCTAGCAAGAATGACCTTAAAGCAGACTACTCTCTAATCTGTGCTACATGTAAGGCCCTTTGGGACAACATCCCAAGTTTTGTTTTAAATCAAGTGTGGTAGGACCTGGCAGTCTGAGGGTTAACATCTTTCAACACCACTGGAGCCCAGTGGGCTATGATTACAGAGCAGACCTTCACAGAGACACATGGGCTGGGACCAAGGCTGTGTTGTGGGTGAGGTGCTGCTGGACGCCCAGGAGCAGGGGCCCAGAGCAGCAGAAGACCTCTCCCTCTATGGGCCAGAGTGGGATGAGTAACATTTACAAACCACCTCATCTAAGTTTGGCAGCAATCTGCAATGACTAATAAAAAAAAAAAAAAAAAAAATGTAACGCTAGGAGCCCCAGACAGCCACCTGCAAGGAGATGAGACGGTGGCATAGCATGTCCTACATGCAGGGACCTCAACATATACAGTGTAAGACTGTGAAATAAGGCATCTCAATCTATTGTTTAATCTAATCATGCAAAATAAATAACTGTTAAAAAACGACCTTACTCCTCAACACTACACGTCTGAGACTGAGTGACAACGTACTGTTAAACCGGTTTTAACTGGACACACTGATGAAAGCAAACACTCACAATTGATGGAGCTGGGTGGGAGGACTTGTTGGAAGAGCTCGACTTCTCTGAGTTCTTGGTGACCTTGTTGTCCAACATGTTCTTTTTGACCACTTTGAATTCACGGTTCTTGCCCGGGACGTAGCCATTCTTCAGAGAGATGAGAATGGGGTCTCCATTCTTACCATCAAACCACTCCTCAGCCTCCAAAGCAGGATCTGGACCAGCTGTGTCTGGGTACAAGTCGTCCTGGAACAGGTCCGACTGACGGGAGAGAATAGAGCAATAAGTTGTGAGGAAAAGAGAACTTGTGAATGTGGTGCTTGTGATTTAAAGAGTAGATTAGAGGTCTAAAAGCTTCTGCAAAGTAGCGTGTTAGGGCGAGTACTCACCTTTCTAGGCACAGTCATCACAATAGGCTCACACTTTCTTTCATGCAGTTTATAGAACCTGCAACATAAAAAGTCTGGTGTTACTCACAGTTCAATACATCATTACACAATAAAAACAGCAGTTTCCTGTGGATTGTTGTATCGCGGTTACAGTTTGCCTCCTAGTGGTCAATCAATGAACTCCACATTAGAGATGATGGAATAAAATCAAAACGATTTCTGGTTTCAGAGATGATGATTTAGGACCAGTCTTGGGTTACCTTGCAATTTCACACTTATTGACATCGAGGCCCCTCTTTGGCATGTAGCCCATACCCCTCTGGGGCTCCTTGCTGGCAAAGGTGTTCAGAAAGTGAACATAGGGAGCCTCGTCTGTGATTTCAAAGTAACGGATGCTGCTGTCTCCCTATCAGGATATAAACAAGTGTTTTATTTCTAATGTGTGCACATTTAAATTGAGACATTAAGCTTTGTGTTAGAACAATGCTTGATTTGATTATTGGGTGCTTAGAAGGAAACGCACCTTTCCACAGAGGTAAACGACATTGGTGTCTGGGTCATAGAAGGGCAGAAGCACTCCATTACTGGTGTCCATCTCATTGACAGTCATTGGCTCCTCCAAGTTTTGCTTAAAACAAAAACAGAAGAAAGATTAATTTGAGGCAATACTGTTCAAAAACATTAAAACACAGCTTTACATACCAAGTCCATAATGAGGCAAACTGAAGTG